GAGGGCACTGACCGTATCAAATACATAAACCAAATAACTTTGTATACTCTCAATGTAAAATTAAAGTTTGTCATATAGTATTTATCATTTGTATTTTTGGAAAAATACTCAGATCTCAGTTTTTGGAAAGTCGTCTAATTTTGTCAAACACAGAAACCGTTATATTATTTTCACTTTTAATTTCCCTGTAGGTTGTTGGTTCTACTCCGATAAAATACAAGTGGAGTTAAATAATACCAAACATCTTTGCATTTGAAGACAGAATAACTACAGAATGTTTGAAGTAAAGGTTCCAGGTTTATTCTGATGATTGCACAGTCACAACATGATCCTGGAGAATAAATCAGATCAGATATCTTTCTGTAATTTATCTCTCAGCTCATCAGTTTGGATTCACCACAAAATTCAAATCAGATTCAAATTCATCAGAGAAAGAATAAAGTTGTAAAACAAACCGTCATCTGTTAATCATCATTCTGCTGCGATCAGCTCCAACAACACGTCAGAACCAAAACCGACCAAAGCTCCACTGAACCGATCTGTTCAGGAAGTTACAGCAGCTGAGACTCAACAACTCAAACATGAGCCTGAACCAAGAAAAACAAATCTAGACAATATTTCAAATGAAAAATGCTGAAGTGTTTAAGTGTTAAATGCACGAGGGCAAATATTTAAGACTTTTATTGCTTCAAGGAATATGATTTTAAGATCCATCACACCATGATTGTTTTTGTAAGTTTTATAACTTATCAAAGTTATTTATGGAAAAATATGAAATTACCACAAGTAATACTGATATTTATAAATAAGTAAACAGGCAAACAACTTGTTCACCTACTTTTATGTACACACACACACACACACACACACAGTAACTGTATTGTCCTCTACATAAAAAAATATATTGGATATCTGGATATGCATCATGAAACTTCAGTTCATGGAACTTTCCTGTTTTTCACTTGTTAACATTTGTATAAACATTGTATTATAATTATTTCAAATTAGCATGAACTGTACTAACTAAGATTCAGTCATTAGTTTTTTGCATTTATCATAATTTGTGGCACAGAGGATTATAAAGCAGCGACGTTATACAGAGAAGACGTGTGAATCTGAGGCGCTCTGGAAAAACAGCTCCTGGAAGTGCTTTTAAAAAATCATAATATTAATTCTCTTTAATAGGAAGTGCAGAGGAATGAGTTGTGTTTTCTCACTTTTACTGAATGTTTCTGCATTTTTAGTTTTTTGTCAACTGACAAAATCTCTTTTTTCCATCATTTGTCGCTATTTCATTTTTGTGAATTTGTCTCCGACACTTCCACTGATTTAAAATGTAACTGAGAAAATTAATTCAGGGGGATTTGCAGGTGACACATTTAAAAAAGAAGTAAAATAAAAGCAGAAAAAACACTGGATCATATACAGTGTTTCCTGTTCCAGTTTGAAATCATCTTTCATCACTTCCTGTCTGACTCGTAAACGCTGTTTCAAACTCGCTGCACCATCCCACCATGTTATCATTATTATTTTCTTACAAAATAAAATACCAGCCGTCCATCTGCAGATTAATTCACAGTTTGGTTTTAAGACATCTTGGTTTGTTTTTGATTTCCACTGGTCGCAGAAGAGCCTGACGACCAATCGGAGCAAGGAAATGAATGATGCGGCACAGAGTGGAAGAAAAAAGTAAACAGACTCCAGCTGCTTGTTCTTCTTTTCTAGAAAACATACAGTTACAAACAAAGCTTCAGCCGTGCTCCTATCGGACGCCCCTCAGTCTGTCACTGCATCGGCCCAGCCCCCTGGTGAGATCATTGTTTTGTGCTAGTTTTGTATGTATTGTTTTAGTCTGACCACTTTCAGGACGGGAGGGAATAGATGCAGGTTTCAGGTTTCCAGGCTAATAGAGAGAGCGCCCCCTAGAGCCACAGAACACATCAGACTAAAAGAACTGACGCCCCGAGCCAACGGAACAAAAGTATGTAACTGTGAAACTACTTCAAGTATCGGCTCTATCGTCACTGAGAACTAAACCTAGCTTAAAAAAAAAATGTTTTAGTTTGTCATAATATTGCAGAAGCTTTGGAGCCGTGGTGGAAACCAACAAAAAATAAAAACTCTCAGGCTGAAAGAATGAAAACGTCAGCGCTAAAACAACCCCAGTGCTAACACCCAGCAGCTCGGAGGAGGAGGATCAGGATCCTGCAGCCGGCGGAGGGAGCTGCTCGGAGGCGGTGAGAGAGGAGGAGTCGTGGAACGAGTCAGGAAGGTTCTTGACGTATTCCACCAGCTCATAGGAATCTCTGATGTCCGTCAGGCCAAACCAGAAGACGGTCCACAGCCCGTTAACAAAGCTGCCGTCACAGTGTTTGAAGTACCTGGAGGCAAACGGAGAAGGAGACAGATCCGGTTTGATTCAGATTCAGTAACGAGACGTCAGGGTCTTTTTCTTAAATCGTGAAATAACAAATAGAAAGAAAGTCAGTGAAAACTGTGGACTTTGAAAGTCTGTGTGAAGTGTATGTGTGTGTGTATGTGTGTGTATGTGTGTGTATGTGTGTGAGTGAGTGTGTGTGTGAGTGAGTGAGTGAGTGAGTGAGTGAGTGAGTGAGTGAGTGAGTGAGTGTGTGTGTGTGTGTGTGAGTGTGTGTGTGTGTGTGAGTGAGCTTGTCGTACCACGGGTTGATCCTGTTGGTGGCTCTCGACCTCCAGAACAGTTTGCCCAGGTCCTGTCTGATACACTCCCACAGGACGTGGCTGGTGCCCTGGCCCTGTTTGCTGCTGCTCACCACAAACTTGTCCAGGTAGGGCGTGCCGCTGTTCACCGGCTCCATGGTGATGATGGCTGCGGCGCTGTAGCTGGAGGAACAGCAGCAGAACCAGAGAGAGGCTCAGTTTACAAATACTGATGTTCTACTTAGTTTCATGGAAAATCTCCTCCGGTGATTTGTTGGTTAAACGGTGACACGTCTCGACAACAGCTCTGAATGAAGCATTCGTTCTGGAGTTTTGTTCACACACCCTTCAGACAGGTAGACGGAGTGAAGTCGTCCCTCCAGCGAGTCGATGTAGTCTCGCCTCAGAGTTTTATCAAAAGACTTGTTGATGAGAGTCAGCAGACGCTCCACATCGATCCCATCCAGAGAGCTGTACCTACACACACACACACACACACACACACACACACACACACACACACACACACACACACACACACACACACACACACACACACAGGAAACAAGTATTTAGTTTACAGTCTAATACAGTGTTTTCATTTATTTTTGCTGTACTTTAAAGGAGCCGATACACAGTATGTTTGTGTATAAGTACGTGTGATGTCTACTTACCGGTGTATGGGGTCTCCGTTTTTAAAGAGCGTCCCCGACCCTAAGAGGGAGGAGCAGACAAGATGAAGCAGTTGGAACTCAACTTAATGTCCAAGCTCGTGTGAGTCATCGTGTGGCGTCAGTCGTCTCTCACCTCGGTGGCTGAACAGCTCCGTCAGCATCGTGTTCGCGGAGGTGATCACAGCCGAGGACTCGGTCGGTAGTTGGTTGAGCAGTCGGGCTATGGTGGTCACTCGGTGGCACTCCGCGGCGCTCAGACCCGCGCCCGTGGACAGACTGGGCAGGTCGCTTGGCAACGACACGGTTCCCAGCACCTGGAGCAGAAAAGAACGATGTTCAGGAGGAGTTTGAAACGGTGGAGGACACCGAGGCAGACCGTGAGCGTCTATGTTTCCAAACATGTCAGTTTCTGCTCATCCAGACTGAAACGCAGCCCGGATGTTTCAGACTCTTGTGTCTGCAGCAGAGGTGACGTCACCTTGCACTCTTGGCTGCGGAGGCCTCCGGAGTTGTTCAGGAACATGACTTTGTGCGGCTGCAGGGCTCGAGAAATGGCCGCCGTCACTTCTGTCGGGTCCAACATCACTGAGCAACCTCGGCCATCCCTCCCCACGGGACAAACCAACGGGATTGTCCCGCAGTCCAGAGTCCACTGGAGGAGGCCGGTGTCCACAGCGACGTAGTGTGGAGCGCTGGGAAGGGGACGGGACAGAGAGAGGACAGAGACGGGTTTGAGCACAGCGGCGAGGAGGTGATTTGACGATACGTGACGTCAACCTGAAGCCCTCACCTGCTTCCTCGTGGGGCTTCATGCTGCAGGAGGAACGACTCGGCGGAGAAGAACGGCAGGACGGTGGCCGAGTGCTGCTGCAGAGCCTCCGTCAGCTGCTGGCTCCGCTCCACCAGCCCTCGGCTGCACCACGGCCCGGCGTCCCCTTCAGCAGGCCCCGCCTCCTCAGAGTCAGACCAGCCCATCACGACCACGGGCTTCATGTCCATCCGCTGCAGGAAGGAGAGCCCGAAGGCCAGGCTCTGCACCCTCTCCCTGCTGTCAGACACCGAGCCGTCCACCTGGGGGACAACGCCACGTCGTCATTAACAAGAAGTGCATCATGGGAACTTCTGCAGCTAATGTTGGATTTCCAACAAAACAAAGCAGATCGTGACAGGATGAGGACGGATCCAAAGATAAAATCACACACACTCTTCACACAGATACAGTGAACTGAGGGTGACGAACACACGATCACATGACCACATGAACACACGAACAAACGAACACATGAACACACGACCACATGACCACACGACCCACGTCACCAGGCTGCCAGCTGATTATCGTCATTTGATTTTATATCTGTTATTTCTCTTGTCTTGTATTTGAAGTTTTCACTGTTTAAAAAAGATGCTGCAGCATATTTAAATGTTTACTAGGTTCAGATCGAGTGCAGAACTACAGCTTCAGTTATCCATCTGTACTTGTTGTGTCTCTGTCTCTGTGTCTCTGTCTCTCTGTCTTTGTCTCTGTGTCTCTGTCTCTGTCTCTCTGTCTCTCTCTCTCTCTGTCTCTGTGTCTCTGTCTCTCTGTCTCTCTCTCTCTGTCTGTCTCTCTGTCTCTCTGTCTCTCTGTCCACAGCTCAAACCCTCTGCAGAAGAAAACTCGAAACAACAACTTGAGGAAATGAAAGTAGATAAATAAAGATAAACACGATGATGTCAAAGTTATTTTATCACTTCAGTCACATGGTTGAATACTGAGTGGGTTTCGCGCCTGTGATGAACGTTTCCATGGTAACAGCGAAGTCATCCAATCAGACGCCCCTACTGCCGCTGAGGATTGTGGGTAGTGTAGTTTTTCTGCTAAATCCCGTGTAAATAAAACATAATAAATCCCGGAGGCTTCACGTGAGATTCTAAACTTTTATTTACTTTTATCTAAGTTGAAGTGAAGTTGAAGTTTATTATCATGAAAGAACCGAGTTAAAGTCCGGACCCACCTCCAGGACAGCGAAGGCCGGGGACTGTGCGGCCGCGGCCCTCTGGAACTGGGTCAGCCAGTACCGGGCCTCCCGGGGGTCCCCGCCGACCTCGCTGAGAAAAGCCTTCACGTCCCGGGAGATGAGGTTCCGGTTCGCCGGCATGTGTCGGTCCGCGGCGGAGGAGGAGTTCCCCGGGTGCTCCTGCTGGGCCAGAGCCGCGGCCTTTCCTCGCTTCCCGGCCGCGTCAGAGCTCGCCATGCGGGCGTGTGGACCCAACATCCTCCGCTGCCTCAGCCCGGAGCTCTGGGTCGGTACCGGGACACTCGGGCCGGACAGGTACTTCCCCGCCATGACCACGGCCCGACATCCGCAGGAGCCGGTGTTTACCTTGGCCATGCTGCCGGACACAGGGCTCCGTCACCGGGGCTGAGTGAGAGCTGGGGGCCGGGAGAGGGGGCAGGTCAGCGGGGTCAGGCTGCTTCTCACGTTTCATCATCCGGAGCGTGGAGCCGCGGACGTGGTGCTGCTGACACCCAGCGAGAGGTGAGGCCGGACAACACCCACCATTCTAACTTTACACAGTGCAAACTTTAAAACACAAGAGTTCACCAAAGTTAAACAGAGTTAAACAAAGAAAAGTTCAAGTCTCATTTTATAAAAACAACTTTACTGACCCACACACCGGGGACACAGGATGATAATAAAATAATTACATTTAAAAATGCTGAGTGTGTTCAGAAACACATCTCTTCACTGTAGTGGTCTGTGTGAAAGTAAAGAAACGGTGATGACTGTGACTGAGAAACAAGATTTCTACATAAACAGTAGAAAGTAGTTTTCTGTTAAACAGGATACTGAGGTTTGTGACAGCAGCTTCGTTCTCGTTCTGACCCGTTGGATCATTCTGTGCAGCTCTAACTTCCCACCGACACTTTCAGCATCACGTCTGCTCTGCTCACACGTTCACAGTCAACGCTTCAGTGTCTCTACTGAACTAAATGTTCACGTGATCAGCCGCGCTGCCTCCGAAGGTTCCTGCCTCGAGTGTTCACGTGGGCCAACACTTCAGATCCTGGATGGATGGACATTAGACTCCACAAGACAATTATCAGTCTGTTGCAGTGAGACGAGACACAAACTCTTGACTCCATCAAAAGTTTCAGCTCTGATGCCTCCACTGTGTCCACAGACCACAATAACACTGACCAACACTTCGTCTGTTTATTTTTACACCGTAAGAAATGTTCCCACTGGTTTATTCTCTTGAAGCCAAATGTATTAATAACTCTTCATGCTTGTGTCTCTGCTGCCTCTCTATCTCTGTCTGTCATCAGGCTGGACACGGTGACCGCATCTGCCCCGAGTGCCCTCAGGCACACACACACACACAC